AGATAGCTTAATTCTTTATATGTCTACAAAAATCTTGTTGTAAAGTAAACCTCTATGCCTTTGAGAGTTTTAGGGAAAATAGGACACACAGTTATAGAAAGGCTTCTGGTATGTATCTTCTGCTTACAACCCAATTCCAAGCAAGAGGAAATCTCTACAAACTTCATACAATTAAGGTTTCATTATCTAACATAGAGATTTTAAAAACAAATCATCATACAGTATACACTGGCTGCCTATTTTGGCTCAAAATGTTAAAGGAATATCTTTGTGCAACAAGGAGAATAAATTACTGTCCTAACAACAAACATCAGAATTCCTCTTAGGGAGCCATTCTGATAAACTACTTGGAGTGGAAACTCAAATCCTTGGAGAGGATCTAGCATGAGATGATGCCACAGTGGAGAAAGTGAAACTATTCAGCACTAAGAATGAAAAAGAACTTGGGTAGAGAGAAGATAACGCAGGTTTATGACAGAACAGCAAAGTGACTTTTAAGAAAAGATCCAATATTAAACTTTACGGGTTTGTTGCATTTCATTTTGCCTCTTGCGGTGTAATGGCCTAGTGTGCACACATGCGCACATCACCTCCAAAGCTTCAGTAGTGTCAGGTTACCTGGAGGAGAGTTTTCTTACTTGTTTTGATTTTCAGTTTTCTAATGCAAATCAAAGAGAGGCAAGTTCCATGTCTCCCTTGAGACGGTTTGGGACAGGGTCAGATCTGCAAGGTAAGGGGCTACCAGTTCACAGAAACAGCTCTTATCCAGAGGTGAGCAGTACTAGATAGAACACAAACATTTCTCCCTTCTCCTCTATTCCCAGAACACTCCCCACTGGGAATTTTCAGAAGTACCAATCTGTGGTCTAAACTCACTGTCTCTAGTCACTGTATCCCCTCCCAGTTCCACCCCCATTTTTTCTTGAACACACTTCTCTGGCCTTTGCCCTGAAACTGCTCTTGTCAAGATCACTATGACCTTCACATGGCGAGCACCAATAAATGGTCAATTCTCAGTGCCCATCCAACTTGAGTTACCACAATTTAACATCTGCTCACTTTTGAAATTCTTCATTAGATGGTCAGAAATACTACAGATACATGTTTTCTTAGTTTCTCAACCAGTTGCTCCTTCTCTGAAGTCTTTACTGGATCCTAATGTCCCTATCCTCTGAACACTGCATCAGCCCCTCCTTGTTCCTATTCTCTTTTCTGTCTGCTCTCACAGCCCTGGTAAGTCCATATAGCCTCACCACTTTCTATATCATCATATGCTGGCAAATGGATATGTGGAGCCAGATTACTCACCCAAACATCATATTGATAAGTTCAACTGCCTATTTGAGTTCCTTTCAAGACATCAAGGTGCCACCTGAATGGTTAATAGACATATCAGTCTCGAAAATTATCCCCTTCCACAATTGTTCTGTCTCAGCAAAAGGCAATTCCATCCTTATTCTCAGGCCAAAAAAAAAAAAAAAAAAACAAAAAAAAACAAAACACCTTGGAGCTGTCCTTGGTACCTCTCTCTCACATCCCACATTTTCTTCATCTGCAAATATTTCTATGTTTTCAATATATATCCAGAATTGTACCACTTCCAACTACCTCACTGTTAGCATCTTAGTCAGAGCCATAATCATTTTTTTACTGAATTTTGCTGGAGCCTCTTAACTGTTTTTCATGCTCCACACTTTGCCACTAATCAGGGTCTCAGTTTCAGCACTATTGACATTTGGAGCTAGTATTATTGTGGAGGCTGCTGAGTGCATGATAGGATTTTTAGCAGTACTACCCACTAAACACAAGTAGCACACACTCCCCCACCACCCACCTTGAGTTGTGACAAACAAAATGTCTCCAGAAATTGCTAAGTGCCTCAATTAACCCCTGATTAAGAACAATTGCCCTATAGTGTATTTTCTTTTTTTTAATGTTTATTTATTCATTTATTTTGAGAGAGAGAGAGAGAGAGAGAGAGAGAGAGAGAGAGAGAGAGAGAATCTTAAGCAGGCTCTGCACTGTCAGCACAGAGCCCGACTCAGGGCTTGATCTCACGAATTATGAAATCATGACCTGAGCTGAAATCAAGAGTCTGATGCTTAATCAACTGTACCACCCAGGCATCCCACCCTACAGTGTATTTTCAAACTAGGTGCATAGCTCACCCTTTTTTGACAGAAGCCAGATTATGTAATATGTCTGCTCAAAACTGACCAATAGATTTCCATCTCACCCAGGAAAAAAAGAAGAAAAGAAGAAAAGAAAAGAAAAGAAAAGAAAAGAAAAGAAAAGAAAAGAAAAGAAAAGAAAAAGAAAAGAAAAAGCCAGTATCCTTACCATGACCTGCTGGCTATACATCATCTTTTCCACATCCATTACTCCTTCCTTGACCTCATCTCCTATTTCACACCCATTTACTCACTCTGTTTCAGTCATACTTGCCTTTTGCCTATTCCTGAAATATACCACCAAGCTCCCCTCTAAAGATCTGGGCAATTTGTTTCCTCTGCCTCTATGCCTATATATCCTTGTCCCACAATATCATTTGGCTTGTTCCTTTACTCCCTTAAGTGATTTGCTCCAAAGTCAATTTCCCAATGAAACCTTCTATATTTACTCATTTTAAAATTTCAGCCACCTTCCCGTGCCTCATCTTCTTCCCACTCTTCTTTTCCCTCCATTCTAGCATTATTTTTAATGGCATTTATCTCCATCTGATATGCTATATGTGTTAATAATTGCTTTAATGTCTGTCTTTACCCAACAGGATGTAAGCCCCAGGAGGAAAAGGATTTTTGCCTTTTTCATTCACTGCTGTATCCCCATAACATAGAAAAGTGTGGGTGGGAAGCACTTAATAAGTGCTTATTAAATAAATAAGGAAAGGAAGAAAAGAGGGAGGGAAAGAATGAAGGACAGAAGATGGAAGGAAAGATAGAAGTGGGGAGGGAGAGAGAAAACCATCTTCGATAGATCTGAAGGGTCAAGGCAGACACAGTTCATCTCTAGGACACATCCACATGTACCATTAACAAAGACTGAGTTGGTTTCCATAGAATTTATTTAATCATTATATACAATGGGAACTAAGGATCTGTCAAAATGCTTCTGTGCTTAGAAATTTTATATAGGGAGTATTTAGAAAGCATACATATAAATCCATTAATACATAGCTCTAAATATCTATAGATATATAAATAAGTAGAATTTTAAAAGGAATTTTATAAAGTGCCATAGACCATGGTAACTCCCCTACATACATAAAAAGGAGTGTGCTGGGGTAAGTCAAATAATTCAATTATATACACCATAAGGAGCTTAACAAGTAATAGTAACAGTGAACAAAGCTCTTTTCTACCAGATGAAAGCCTGCATGGTTCAATTGTGAGTGAAAGAGAGGAACAGAAATGCTTCCTGCTGCAAGCTGACAGTTACATGGAACCCCCTGAAGTTATAAATTGAGTTCCTCTACTAATTGCTGGTCTGAAGGGGACAAAGATCCACATTTTATTTCTCTTGCTGAACTTGCAACATAAGCACTTGTGAATTTTACATTAGGGTCAAGCTGGGAGGTTCCCATCCGGTTTTACCTGGAGTAGAGAACAGTGTCACCTCCCATGCAAATGAGGTCAGATAGTCCTTCCTGCATTGGGTGCCTACCAGGGAGATTTCAGTGTAACAGACGCTAATAGGAAGTTGATGTAGAGGAGGGGAGAGGGAAAGAAGGAAAAAAAAAAAAACTAAACTAAATTAAATATAGATCCTATTTGAAATAAAATTTTGTTTAGAAATTTGAAATAAAATCTTATAGATTCTAAGAGCACATCTTTCAGAAAGAACTCCGAATTTTGTAATATCATTCCTTAAAATTGTATGCCACACCAATTTAGTAACAATATCAACTATTTCATCTATTTCCTAAACAACTCATCGTAAGGCCAATAAAGCTACGCAGCAGGCAGGTACTTTAATAAAATAGACCCAGTTCTCCAGAGAGAGGAACCTGTGGTTCAAATGCTAACACTTTTGATCAGGTAAGCACTTTATTCTTACCAATGAGCAATCACTTTTATGTGGATGCTGATCGAAATGTTCTTGAGAAGGAAAATAAAATGGGCAGGGGCTGGGGCGGGGGACAAAATACTGCTATGATGTAACATTTCAAAACAGGTTTTCTGAGAAGGAAAAATAACTACAGCATTTCTAATGGGTATACGTGCCCTTTCTAACTTCCTGGAAAGTCAGTTCACTCCCCTGAAAAAGCGGTAGCTTCATTCGAATTTGTATAACAAAATTCACTCATTTATTCACTCAGCAAATGATTACTGAACACATTATCTTTGTAAAAGGAAGTAAGAATATTGGTGGTGAACACAATCTCCATTATACAATTTCCCTTCTCTTCCATTATACAGTTTTTATTCTACCTACTATACCTGTACTGACATATGACTAGACAAAAATAATGTGAGGGACAATTAATACATTGAGATCCAACATCTGAGAATTAGGAAAAAGAAAATAATCAGAGTGTCTTCTCAGTGTAAAATATTGAAGAGTTCTGGGAGTCATCAAGATTTAACTTGAAATCCCAGCTCCTCCACTTATTGGCTGCCTGGATGAATGAAATATTCCCTGGATGTCAAGTCCCTTGGGTGGAAAATGTTCTAACAGTACCTACCCATCCAGTAGCCGTGAGGATTAAATGAGATGCTGGCAAGCACCTCTCCACAGTCCATATTCAACAAATTATAGCTACATGGTTATCTTTTGGAGACCTAAACTTACACAATGCCTTTCTTAATCCCTATGAAGACTTCTTGGCAAGACCTAAGAAACATTAGGTTTTATTTTACCTCTTCAGAAGAAATTAGTTTTCTCATGCTCATCTTCTCTAACGTATTATTCTTGGAATTTTCACATCTGAAATAAATGCACGAAGAAAAATTTGCACCTTCAAGGATCCCTTCCAATAAAATAACCATGAAAATACTTACCTAGTTTTGGCAAGGAATAGGGCACTTTAAAGTAGTCTTCATAAAATTCTATTAATCTCTTTGTTATATGGAGAGCATAGTCCCCAGATCCTCTTCTGATAGCATCAGGTCTTGCATATAATCGTACCTAATTAAAAATATATATAAAAGCTACATTAGCCTTTTGGTATTCAAGTTTTATCTTCCCTGCATATATGAATCTGCACAAATCACTTTGAATAGTACAAAAATTAAACAGTATTCTTATTCATATATCAAAGCACGCTGTAGCTGAAAGAACCAAACTTGAACAATTAAAGTAACCAAGTTGAGCAAGTCACAATTTCCTTGCTTTACAAGATGCCATAGAGAAGATTTATACACCTTGCATCAAAATAAATATTCGAGTTATCACTTACATGTGCTTGCTGGAGATATGAAGGTACGGTGGATTAGTATAATGGTTCCCTGACAGTGCTGTAAGTAGGCAGGATATGGTAGCTCCGCAGGAAAGAAAATTCATGGTTTGTTAAAGACACATTGCATCAAGCTTTGGAAGTATCACCAGGCTGAACAAAATGTAATTTGTGCTTCCTTCTTTTCTTTGGAACCAACTGTCCTTATCCTCAGTATGCAAAGTAGGAATCGCAAACTTTTCATGTACATAAATAATCGCCATGCTGGAAGGCCGTCTGCAACGGCTCCCAGCTTCAAAACCAGCTGAAGTGTTTCCTATCTCTAACACAATTCTGATACTTAATGTTGATTTTTAAATCAAGCATTGTATATTATCTAGTCCTCGGCCAAAAAGAAGCCTGAGGCAAATAACATAAAACTGAACAAAACTAACAATTGTACAGAAAAGGTTAAAATGAGATTAGTTTTCATAAAGATTTCATAAAGCCATCCAGCATCTTTCTTCCCAAAGGCTAAATCTGTTTTTCACAGATGTGGCCCCTAATCCTCATATCAATTCTGTGAATAAGATATACGTGTATTTGTGGAGCAGTAGAGAAGACAGCAGGCTGGGAGTTGGGTGTTAGTCCTGCTCTGCCACTAAGCAAGCTGGGGGATATTGAACAAATTACTTAACCTCTTTGGGCCTCAAGTGTTCTCACTTATAAAATGAAGGTGTTGACTAAAGTGCTTTTAAGTTCTAAAACACATTACTTCCAATCCTATTTTATAGATAGAGGAGTTTGTGTTCTTCTCAAATTACTAAAAAAAAAAAAAAAAAAAAAAGATAAATGGTTTGCTGAGTATGTGGAAATGGATATTTATATTCAACAGGAAGACAAAAGAAAGTGACACTCAATCATATAAAAATTGATTATACAATTAACTGTCATCCTCACTTAAGGAGAGAACAGAGATGTATATAAACAAAAAGAGTAGAAAGTTAAGAAAAATGCATCCTGACTTGATATTAGAAAGACCTGTAATTCAATAAGATATTTACTAAATTCAATGACAATTATTTACTGAAATAGTGAAGCTACTTCTCAACCCAACAACGAAATCAAATATCAAACTTGGTTCACAGTCACCTACAGTTTTGGTTGGCAGTAATATAAAACCAAAAACTCTCAGGAGGAACTGACTACAACAGCACAACTTAAGACTCTTAGAGAGATAGTGAATATGATTCCCTGACCCTGACTCAACTCACTATAAACATGCACTGCCTTAAGTAAAGTTCCCAATAAGCAGACTCTAAGGAAAGAGGGAGCATACAAGTCATCTGCTAAGGAAGTGTTCTTAGGAGAAACCTATGAGAGAACAAGGAAGTGAGATAAGGGAGGCTAATAAGCCAAGCAAATGTGTGTGCAATTTGAGGTAAAGTCTTGGCCTCAGCCTGATCCCACAGGGAGCTCTAGAGTATAAATTGCGATTGCAAGTTTGCACTGCATTGAGGCATGATAGTTAGACCTCCATACTCTTATATTCAGTCATCAGATACTGGTTAGCAAGGAGAAGGCATAAAATCCCAAGAACTTATTCTTGGAGCATCTATGTGATGCAGCTCCAGTGGCCCAAAGATCGTCCTTCAGAAAAGATTTTAGGTGTCAACTACTAGGAGCAGAGCAATGAAGAGCTGGGGGATAGACATATCAAACAGGAAAGGAGATCTGGTCTGTGCATCATGAGCATACATCACAGACAGTAATCATTCATTCACGCAGTCATTCACTCCACAAATATTTATTTGGCATCTAATTCACACCAGGGCCTGGACAAAGGATTTTTAACTTAGTGATGAAGAAGACATGTTTTCTAACCAGAGATGGTACAAAGCATTTTGAGAAAAAAACCAATGAAGATGGAATGCCCATCTTCAAAGAGCTTCCCATGTATTGGGTAGGTTAGATAATAACAACAGATAATGATACATGCCATATGAATAGGAAACTAAAATAACAAAGTATTCTGGGGAAGAGTAGATACCTTTAAGAAGGTTCAAGGTGAAATAAATAGTAATCCATGTTGAAACCATAACCAGGACCACTGCAAAATGATGCAGCAAAAGGTCACTGATTTTACTCCCAGGAAGCATCATTGATTTTGGTAGAAACACAAGCATTCCTGTCAATCAACTCTACCAGTTAGTCAAGCTATCTGTAGGCCCAGACAGGAGAAACACAATTAAATCAATCTGGTTGTCAAGAGTTGATGGAAATAATCCAATCTGAGTGAGAAGATAAAACATACGCAGGCTGCGCATGGTGACTACATGTGCTCATTCAAACATTTATTGCACACCTGCTGTGTTCCAGGTATTATACTAAGGAATAGAAATAGAATAATAAAAACTCTTACCACAAAATGAACAAGACATTTACACTTACTGCCCTTAGGAGGTTTATAATATGTGGAAAACAAACAAATCTACAACAAAAATATAATGTAAGCAATGGAAAAGTGTACTCTGACTCCCCCATTATAGAGGATTAACTAAGCTCCTACATAAGGCTAAACCCCCCACATTCTGTCTCTTCTTGCCTTTTCAAAAGCATCATGCCCAAACTTCTCTTTATTCCCACATCACCAATTTATGCCTGCATACTGGATCATTTTCATTAGCAAATACTCTGTATCACTTACTGTGTTTTCAAACAAAAAGTCTTTATTGAGCACAGTTCCTACAAATATGGTTTCCAGCAATGCCCATTGAAAATTTTCCATATAGTTAGCATGAACACATAAGTTAACATCCAAACTGGAACACTTTTGAGAATGAAAACAGCCCTGAGATAATAAGTGTAAGTAGGGTGGTTGCCTAGCTATGCTATCCGCTTCTAGTCTTTCTTGAACTTACTGCCATAAAGCTTTCATTTCCGCTATACAGCAACAGTATTCATCCCCACTGTATACAACAAGCGTTCTCATCAAAATCACTAACAGTTTCAGAATGCCAAACTCAACAGACCGATTCTAGTCTTCAACATGCTTAACTTATCACCGGCATTTGACACAATCATTTCCCCTCCTTGAACCATTTTCTTTCCTTGGCTTCCATCTTATTTTTCCTTCTATCTTGTTAACCACTCCTTCTCAGTCTCCTCACTGATTCCACTGCAGCCTCATACCTCTCATTACTTAATTTTGATAAATCCAGGGTGTCAATCCACAGACATCTTCACTTTTCTGTCTATGTTCAGTATCTCAGTGGTAACACTAATCTCATGGTTATAAATATCAACTAGATGATAAAGACCTACCCCATAATTCCAGAATTCCAGACTCATTAATCCAGCTGTCCATTGGCCATCTGCACTTGGATATCTAATAGGCATCTCAAACTTAACATGTTTGAAAACGGATACCAGAGTTTTCTCCTCTCTTCTCTCCTCCTCAGCCTCCTCCTTCTTCTCCCTCCTTTCTGTCACCCTACCCCCCCAACAACACGCTGTTCCCCTTAAAGATTTTCCATCCAGCTACTTAAGTCCAATACCTCAGTATTATCCTTGTTTCCCTCTTTCTCTTACATTCCATGTTCAATCTGTTATCATATCCTTTGGCTCTACCTTAAAAACATATCCAGACTCCAACCACTTCTCACAACTCTACCACTACCAACCTGCTTCAAGCTTCCTTCATTTCTTAGGTAGATGAGTGCTCTAGTTTCCTACTGATGTCTCATCCCCACTCCCTTCAGTCTGTTCTCTAACCAAATATTCCTTTCAAATGAATATCACTCTTCTGCCTTTCCTCCTCCAGTGACTTGCCATCTCATTCAGAGTAACAGCCCAAGTTTTTATAAGGGCCTCAAAATTCCTATAAAAATCTAGCCCACTGAACCTCTCCGGCTGATTTTCTACTACTTTGCTCCACATGAACTTTACTCAATTCATACACTAGCTTCCTTGGCATTCTTCACATATTCCAGAGATTCTTCCATAAAGGTTTTTGAATTTTCCCTTAGATATCTCCAGGGCTTATTCCCTCTTCTCCTTTAGATACTTGTCCAAATATCTCTTCTTTCTGATTTTCTATTATTTGAGTCTCCTGCTCCAGGACTCTCTATCCTCCTTCCTTACTTTATTGTTTCCTATAAAACTTACCACCATTTAACAAAATATATGTTTTACTTATTCATTTTGTTTCTTGCTGCCTTTTTTCCAAGAATGTAAGTTGCTTGAGAATAAAGATTTTTATCTATTAGTTCTAACTGCATAAAAGTGCCATTATTTTAGGTAAAAATATTTTGTTTAGTTTACTTGTCAAAGGCCTTGTACATAGTAGACATTCAATAAAACTTTGATGAATGAATGAATTTCACAGGTATATGCATGTCCTAAGGGAGTATACAATAGGAATCCTTTAATAACACTGAGATTCTCAGGGGAGGGGATGTTTCACCTACATCTTGAAAGATAAGCCGGATGTAGTAAGCTACCAAGTGGAGAGTGACATCCCAGACCAAAGTAACATTATGTGCTAAGGCAACAATGTTGACCAAATAATAAATGATTTTAAAATTAATAATAAATATTGGCAATTTACTATAATAATTATGGTATTTAATTGGTGAATATTAAGCCAGAAAATGGTAAAATTACTTTTGCATTTCAGAAAGACCCCATCAGTGGCCTATGCCAGGTGGAATAATCGGGAGCTGCTTGTTAAGCCTGCCCAGACAAAATGAGA